AAGTTAAATTTAGTTCTAAACTGAAACAGAATATTCAGTCCTTTCCCTTTAAGTAAAAGTCAGCAACCTTGAGTAGCCATCAAACTGAGAAGTTAATACATTGAGAGGGAGACGTGTGCATGAAAAACATGAAGTGAAAACTTAACTAACACTTTGCCCTTTATTTTAGGTTTAAAAAAATATTCTAAGCTTTGCTTAGTGGTACAAATTGTCTTTAGTTTCAGTAATAAATACATACATCTTACTAATAGGACCAACATAAAGCCTGTGTTTTATTGTCTCTACCCCTCGCTTACTCAAGGGAATTTGCTGATGTCATTCAAAAAGATCTCAGATGTTGATCGAGACTAACTCTTTTCTGGAATCTAAAAATAGCAAAGCAAACAATATTGCCTTGAATTAAATCAACCAACCTTGATCAAACAATTAACTCATCCTCTATTAAATCAATATTTACTGATGCTAATATTGGAACTAGTTCCAGTAGCTAGAATTACAGTCACTGATTTAGTGTCTTTATTATTGGTAATTAGGGTGCTATCTTTCCCCAGTACTACTTTTCAAAGCTGGTACTTGGCTGACTTCTAGAAGCTGGCATAGACAGTGCCTAGATTACACACCCTACACATGGCTGAAGGTTCTTTATAAGGCTTGAAGACCCTCTCTGGAGTGATTCCACGGGTGTTTAATCTAGGTCAGAGATGTGTTGCCACAGCCCAACTTAAATCAACTTTTGGAACAATAGCGTAAAACTATTTTGGCAGAACAATTTTTGATTATGAAAAAATCAGGGAGGGTTATTGCTATATTATACTATCAGGACAGTGGTGGTTTCAGTTCACAAAGTGTTCTTATCCTGCCAGTACCATTCTGAACTGACTGTCCTCAGTGGCACTTCTAGTGGAGCACTTAACTGTGACAAATTAGGAATTAATTTGCTCTGATGTGCTAACGTGACCATGAAGCTCTCTACAAGACCTTTATTTATTCTGTTTTCATTTGTATAATACATTCTTTGCTTCCTGGATCTGATTATGTTCTTTTGGCTATTAAGTTCTTCTTAAACAGTCTTATCTACTCTGGGCTGATCTGATGATTGCTCTTGTTAGGCAAAAGATTTTCATTGCCATGCTTTCAGATTTGTAGTAGCATCCTGGTGTTCATTTTGGTTCTGAATTAGCTGGTCATTACTTTGTTGTTCTCCCAATCCTGAAGGATGTTTTGGTGTGAATTCTAGAATTACATAATCCAATATATACCTAATGAACATATGTAACAAAGTGGGAGATGTAAGAACAAAATTGCAATAACAACAAATAATTAAGCTTGATAATGGAATTAGTATGTTACTATTACTGCAGGGCATCAGTTTAGACCTTAATCTTCCCTTTCGACCTTCAGTATTTTTTTATTGTTGTTGTTCATCATTTGCTTATGCCTGTGGAAAATGTTCACTTTGAATCCAAAACTGAATTTCAAATTAGTCTAATGGACTTCAACTATTGTTCTCAAAGTTAATTTTTGAAGACACCAATTTTGTTGGTGGCTTATCCACATTTAAGACTTGCACGTGTTTTTACATTGGCCAGTTTAAGTGGTATTCATGGTTTGCTTTTGCTTAATAACATCAAACTGTACTGATAAAGCAAAACGGAAATAGCTGTATGTTGCATTTATCTCTGTTGGCAATATAAGAAGGGCAGAAAACATACATTACTCTTGAATATAAGCTCATGCAAAAAGCATCCTGCTCCCAAGTATGAGCCCAATGGTACACATTTCTGTGAGTGCATTGTGCTCATCACTGATGAAAATGCATAGCAGATGGTAGTAACTGTTGAAAATAGTGTTTTCTAGCTGAGTTTGCTCTATCAAATAGTCTTATTGTGCTCTTGGTTCGTGTTTCTGTGGAAACAAATAGGAAGCTTACTTTTGGAATGATCTACATATATAGATAGGCCCACAAAGAATATTTTAAAATATTTTTATTTGAATAATTTTTGTAAGAATTATTATATGTTATAGTTAAGTTCAGCATTTCCTAGATGCACTTCTTTGCAGTGATTAAGAACCTTTTTTGTCATATAAGGTCATGTATTATGTTACATGGCTGCAGCTTTTGGGGTAACAGGAATATTGCCATCAATAGTGCAACTTCTTGCTGTGATGGAATCACACTGACACAATCACTTGGTGTAATTGCAGATTGGCAAAAGAGAAAGTTATGTATGAAAAAGAAGCAAAACAACAAGAAGAGAAGATTGAAAAAATGAAAGCTGAAGCATGCGATGACTATGGAATAAAAAAGCAGGTAAACCATACTAAAACTTGTACAATTCTTTTTTGCTTTGATTTAATGAGTCTTAAACAAAAGAAACTCCTGTACTTTTTTTTCTTCCCAGGCTGCTCCAAACTAAAACCTGCCAATTACAGAAGTCACAGCATACATTTATAGAAAAAACTTCCTGCCCTTCAAAACTGTTTAATTATAAGGAGATTGTGTATCGGTTAGCACTTGGTATCAGAAAGGCCATTGCTAACACTGTGTATCAGGCTGTCTCAGACTCTTTCTCAGATCTACTGGCAATCTGAAAATGAATGTTCTGGATGTACTTAGCTAACATAAGTGCTTAGTGATAAGTGCAAATGTTACTGTAAAGTGAGAAGGCTTGTTAACACAAAGAAACCTTTCAATTCTGGTCTATGCTAATATCACTGTTTAAAAAACACAGATCTCTAAGAGAGAGCAATAGGTGTGCACCTGCTCCTAGTAGTTACTACTGTTATGAAGGCACTAATAAGCAGGATCCACACTTTAGTTTTAACGTGCTCAAGAATGTGATTTGGAGTCATTATTACAGTATGAACTGATTTTTTTTTTTAGAAGGTTTCTTGCAAAGGACAGTGATGTCAGACAGTTGGTACCTGCCCCTTCAGAAGACAGAGGATTGCCAAGTTTCCCTGTCAGTGAGGGGAAAGCTCGGGTTTGGGGGATTCACTTACATTCTTTACAGCAGTTTGGCATGCCTACATTTATTTCGACCTTTACATTCTTTTAACCAAATATTTTATTTTATTATTCTTATATAACTCCTGGCTTTAATTGTTTTATATAAATTTTTTATATATTTTTTTTATATTTTATTTATTTTTTATATATTTTTTATAATATTTTAACTATGTCTTTTCTCAAGCATTTCCTAGATAGTTTTTCTTAATTCTTAACTGAAACTACATTAAAATTATTTTTACCTGTAAGCAGGTTTCACCTGACATGAGTCCAGCCTCACCTTACAAAACCTCCTGTTTTCCCAGTTGTCTTAGAATAATGTAATATTAAATATAAAAATAAAAAACAACAACAAAAAAGATAAGAGAAAGTCCTTTTAGAACAAAGTGAGATAAAATCAGATTTCACTCCATGTGCATATGTCTTGTCTTGTTTTCACTATGATACAGAAGAGAAACACAAGCATGGAATTTCTGGAAGATGTTGTATTTATAAATCTAAGCTGTCTCTGCCTCACCACTGGCTGAGAATCCCAAGGAAGTCTTCCTGAAGATCTGCTGGTGTTAACAATTATTTGACTATACCATGATATTTCTTCAGTGATAAGCAAGAAATCATCAAAGTCAAAACCAACAAAGTCTGTAAATCTTTGTTGTGAAATGAAATGTCACATGCTACTTGAAGGCATTCTCAGAGAGTGGTACAGAAAACTTCAGAGTGAACAGTCTCAATTCATTCACAATTGCCTGATTCACTTTAATGCAAGTCCTCCAATGGTATCTGTTCTATTATATCACTACTGCAGACTGAAAGTCTTTATGTCATGAAGAACCTGGAAGCCTAGAAAGAATGAGTACTCTTGTACTAGAGTCAAATCTGATTCACTAATCAAAATTGTATCGTATCAGGAGAGTTTGCTCAAAAAAAGATATATTTTGGATGGATTTTGAATTTTGAGAAGTTCTTCAGTACTTCTGAAGTTACATATTCAGGAAATGGTTTTAGGTAATAATTCTTAATCTGAATTTACTTTCAAATATGGTTATAGTATTTGTTTCAGTAAAGAAAAGTAGTATTTGGGGGATCACAGTATCACAGAATGGAAAGGGTGGAATGGACTTGTAGAGATTATATGGTCTAAACTCACTGCTCCATCACCTGCACAATAAAGAAGTGCTTCCTGATGTTTACCTCTTATGTTTCAGTTTGTGCCCATTGCCTCTTACGTTGCCATTGGGCACCACAGAAAAGAGCCTGGATCTTCCGTCTTTGTACCCTCTTTTCAGATTTTTACAGACACTGGTACGATCCCCTCAGAATCTTCTCTATGCTGAACAGTCCCAGCACCCCCACTCAGCTGCTGCTTGTAGGATACACGTTCCAATTCATCATTTTTGTGGCCCTTTGTTGGGCTCTCTAATAATTTCACATCTCTCTTGTAATGAGGAGCACAGAATTGGATGCAGCACTTCAGGTGTGGCTGAGTAGAGCACAAAGGATCATGTCCCTCAACCTGCTGGCAGCAGTTAGTCTGAGGCAGCCCTGGATACCGGTAAGCCTCTTAGTGGCAAAGATGCACTGCTCTTTGGACCCCCAGGTCTTTTTCTGCAGAGCATCATTCTGTCTGGGTGGCCCCCAACAAGCCCTGGTGCCTGGGGTTGTTCCTCCCTACCTGCATGACTCTGCACTTCTCTTTGTAGAACTTCGTTTCTGCCAGCCCATTTCTTGAGCCTGTTAAGGTCCCTCTGAATGGTAACACAACTTTCTCAGGTATCTGTCTGTCTTCTAGTATTGTCTACAACTTACCAAGGGTGTGTTCTGTCCCAATGTCCAGATTAATGAAGATCTTAAACAGGACTGGACCCAGTATTCACCCCTGAAGTACTCTGCTCATTACTAAAGGCCTCCAGCTAGACTTTACACCACTGATTGCTACCCTCTCAAGTCCAGCTGTTCAGCCAGTTTTTGATCCGCCTCTCTGGCTGCACATTCAGCCCATATTTCAACAGCTTCTCTGTTGGGGTGTTGTGGGGGACAGTGTCAAAGGCCCTGCTGAGTCCAAGTAGAAAATACAACTCCCAGTCCACCAGGCTGGTGATTTTATCAAAGAAGCTGAGCAAGTTGGTTAAGAACGATTTCCCTTTGGTGAATTCTTGCTGACTATTCGTAAGGATTTTCTTGAAACTTAAAGGGAGAAGATAGGAATGAATTCAACCATTTGAGACTGCAGGTGTAACTTAAAGTACTATTTTAGCTGATTTATCAGCTGAAACACATATGCTTAGACAGATAAACCCATATTTCGTGCAGGAATGCTTAAAATTCTTGATCCTTTGTGTACCTTTTAATGTACAACTATTCTCACTTAGCTTTCTTAGAACTGTGCAGTAAAATTAGGGTTAACAGCTTGGAAGTGACTACTGAAAGTTTTACTTTGAAATGAGTGATGCTGTTCATAAGGCATGGGCAGACTTCAGCATGTGACTGCACTGTAACAAAGTGTCAGTGTCAGTTCTTCTGTAGAACAGGGGCAAGAGCTATGTTGCGTATCTCAGGAAAGAATCTCTAGCATTATGGAGCAGGGAAGTCCTTTCTTTCCTGTTAATTACAGTTGATTAAAAACAAAACAAAACAAAACAAAAAAAAAAAAAAAAAAAAAAAAGCACTCTTCTTATTACTTTTTTTTTTTTTTTTTGTCTAGATGTGGATGAAAAATTCAAAAATAGAACTATTTATGTGACTCAAATTGGCAGAAAAAAAAATGTAATAAAAGAACAGTATTTTATGGGAAAAAAAAGGTTATGAGAGAAAAGGAGGAAGTTTTATGTATCTTAATAAGGTACTAAATTGAAAACAGACATTATAAACTGAGCTCAAGTATTTTATATGAAAATTTGGGGAAAAATCAAATAACTTCCAAAGTATTCTTCTAAATTCATATCCTGAATTTAGTTTCTGTGAAAGGTTATTAATGCTTCTGACTGTAGGAAGTAATGCAGTTGTACTGTACGGGGTATTGTTATTCTTCTTCATCTGTAAGCAGCTTTATGCTGCTGTCACTTATCAGTGACTTATATTAGAAACCAACTGTTTCCAGTGTTTCTGTGACTACTGTTTGGTCCAGTGCACAAATAACATCCTTTTCTACCTAGTGCTTTTACATCAAGGCATGAGAAGATGCAAAATATCTGAATTACCTACTTTTGTTTCCTCTCAGTGGGACTGTAGGTCATCTGTGGAGTTTTTATTATCTGTGAGCATTTTTACTGATAATACATTTCCATTTTTTTAATTAATCTGGATCTGCAAGATAACTATTACTTCTCATGCAGTGTCATTTCCAGATGAATTAAAAATCTAATGGACTTGACAAAGAATTTAATATCTGCGTGACAGAGTACATACAGTCTTGCTAATACCACTTTTCCTCACATATTAATGGAAACAGCAGTATTTTTCTTGCTGTGTTGAGAGGAAAGCAGACTATTACCTGAAACAGTTAAGAAAAAATACCTTTCCCACAAAGAAGATTAATAGTATCTTCAGCTGCATTACGCAAAACACTGCCAGCAGGTTAAGGGAAGCGATCTCTCCCCTCTTCTGTGCACTGGCACAGTTCACCCAGTGTGATGTGTCTAGTTCTGGGCCCCTATTACAAGAGAGGCATGAGCATGCTGGAGGGAGTCCAATAAAGTGACTTCAAGATGGTAGAGGGCCTGCAGCTCCTCTCCTGTGACAAGAAGCTGAGAGCTGAAAGTCTGAAAGTCTAGAAGGATCTCACCAGTGTCTGTAATACATTAGGGAAAGATACAAAGAAGACAGAACAAGGCACTTTTCAGCAGTGCTCAGTGCCAGGACAAATGGCAGGGGACACAAACTGAAACGTAAGAGGTTCTGTGTAAACATCAGGGAGTAATTCTGTGTTGTGCAGGTGATGGAACTCTGGCACAGATTGCCCAGAGAGATTGTGGAGTTTCCTCCTTGGAGAAACTCAAAAGTCCAGGTGGTCCTGTGATCTTCTTTGTGCCACTGTGCTTGAATGGGGATTTAGTCTAGATGACCTTCAGAAGTCCCTTCCAACCTAACCCATTGTATGTTATTATTTGTTTTCATTTGTGCAACAGTCAAAGGTTGTATGATTGTAAGGCAGTACTTAAATGAACATGTGCACATGCATATTCATGTGTTCATATAATTCATATATATCTATATATTAGTCATTCACATTCTTGATTTTCTTAGCCTTGTATGTTTAGAACACCGCTCCTTTTATACCAAGCATTACTGTCATCATAACTTGTGACCTAATAGCTAATTAGACTGTCTCTCTTCTAAGATCAAGGAATGACAGCCCCACAGGAGTTTTCTTGTTTTCAAACTGTTTGTGGATCTGCATATGTCTAAATCTCTTATTTTGTTGTGGGTCAGCTTAAAAGAAAAACAAAAGCTGCTTGAACCTCCTTGAAGCTTATAAAACCTGTCCCAATTATACAGTATTGGTCAGTTAGGCTGGGCAAAACTGCTTCCTGTTACAGAATTCTTGGTATTGGTGCTCATAAATAGTTCTGATCTGCCTAGGTAAGTTGAAATATTGCCACTGAGCTTCTATTACGGGACCTCTTAAAATCAAAGCTGCTTATGTCTAAAGCACAGCTTGTGTTCAGAGTCTCAGTTTTTTTTCTATGGAGTCATGTTTGGCCTGAGTACTTATTTTGAATGTGTAAAATGTTTTTCTGATTTTTGTTATGGTGCCCTTCCACTCAATCAAATGATAGGTTGGCGTGTTCGCATCTCTTTGGCTTTTCTGTTTCTAGTCCTGCTTTATGAGTCACTGCAATGTGGAATTTATGGAAAACAGACTAAATGCTATTGATATTGCATTATGCACGTCAGTTCTTTGACATTTGATCCAATTAATGAAAAATCCACATCGTGTTTAGTAGATAGGTTACATACAGTCCAGCAGTTAGAAAGCTCCGTCACTTCTGAGAAGACTGCTTTCCTTTGTAAGATGCCAAACATCTGCTCCCTTAGCAAAATGAGCTCAGTCCTGAAAAATAATGGATTGGAACTGTGGTTCTTTGAAAAGATATAACTGTTTTTTTCAATACTATTAAAGGAATTGGGACATCATTCTCAATGTAGTCACAGTAACTCTTCCGGTCTTATGTGCACTTATTGACAACATATTCAATTTGCTTCTATCTGTACATTTTTGTGCTTTATTGCTTTACCTTAATAATTTATTTAAATGCACTTCAGTTACTACAATTTTTTGATACCTCTGTTTAGTACTGTAATTCACAGAAATCTTAAAGATGTTTATGGCTATCTGCAGTTAGATCAGTTTCATGTAAAAATTTCCTCTGTGACATACTTACAGTTTAAATTTCTTAAAGTTGAGTCAGAAAGCTTTTAGAGTGTGCTGGGGGAGAAGAGAGAGCTGTTCTTTAATTTTCATAACTGTTAGCAAACACTGTTTCTTTAACCTAGGCATATCTAATTATTTGAGTTGTTCACTCTGTTTTGTTATATATGTTTGCAACAGTAAAACATTTATCAAGGACAATCAGTATTACTGGGAAAAAAGAATGGTTTGTACAGAAGTTATCAAAGTTTCATAAGTAGTTTGATAATTAATCTTGGTTCCACAAGGAATGGGGAATCTCTGCTCCATTCTCCAACCCTCTGCACCTACTGTATGTAACTCCAGTCTTTATCTTTTTTCCATTTCATATTATTGCCTAACTGCAGGCAAATGCAAATAAAACTCACGTAGCCTTTTTGATCTCAGTCATTCTTTTTTAAACTGAATGACTGGAGTAGTTCTGTTCTTCTCTTACAGCAACCATGACTACAGCACTCAGATTCTAAATTTGTATGTTTTTCCTTCAGATTGCTTACTCAGTGGCATGTATAAAATAAATCACTACTTTTCACATTAGCTAGCAGCTTTAAAGTACACAAGAAGTTAGCAATGTCACCCCAATCACCTGTGGACATTCTAACTCCTGTAGGCATTTTTTAGAGAACCAATTTGTGATACACAAAGCAAAAGTCATCATCTCATGTAGTTTGACATACTTAATTCTGCAGAAGTTACAAGCCTTTATTTGTTTACTGCTCCAAGTGTAATATGCAGAGTGTTTTATCTTATTTTTAATACACTCCAAACCTGTATTCGTCCCTGGAGATGAGGAAACCGTAGATGTATGTATGGACATGGTTTAGTAGGCAGCATTGATGGCAGGTGCCTGGTTGGACTAAATGCTTTTAGACATCTTTTCCAACCATTGCGACTCTACGAATGCTTAGAAGGAAACTAATATTAATGAGAATTAGGATTTGTGGGTGCTTAACTCTAATGTCTGTCACCTACCTTGCTTTAACAAATATGGAGGTTGTAGCAAGGTGGAGGTCAGCCTCTTCTGGGTAACTAGCAATAGAACAAGAGGTAAGTTGTGCCAGGGGAGGTTCAGGTTGGACATTAGGAATTTTTTTTTTCTCAGGAAGAGTGGTGAGGTATTGAACAGGCTGCCCAAGGAGGTGGTGGAATCACTGTTCCTGGAGGTCTTTAAGAAAAGGGTAGGTATTGCACTGAGTGGCATAGTTTAGTGCTGTGATGGTGAGGGGCTGATGGTGGTTGGACTAGATGATCTTAGTGGTCTTTACAACCATTATGATTTTATGAATTTTGCCCTAAATTCTGTGAAAGGAAGTTAAAAACACTGATAAAAATCAGTGAAAAACAGTGTTTTTGTAAAAAAATCATTGAACAAAAAGCTTAAACATATAACACTTAAGTACATGATGGTTATGTTTTACAACAAAAGGCCTTCTGGTACACATAGAACGTTCTTAGCCATAGCTTTTATTCCAATATGTGATGACAGTATTCCCTTTGACTCCCTTCAGTACAGCAAGAGGGAAATCAGAGCACAAGAATGATAGAACGTAATGAGCTATTTGATGCGAACACCTTATATTGCAGGTTATCAGGAACACAGAAAGAGGGTTCATATTTAAATATCTAACTAACCAGTTTTTATTTCTAAACAGATTAAACTCTCCTGAACAACTCTGCACATCCTTTCTTCTCAATGGTTAGATTTTAGATCCAGAAACGGTCCATGAAATAAATGTTCCCTTATATAAATCTGAAGTTATTTTCTTTAGGTGTTCAGATTCAGTGGGGTGCCAGTTTAGTAATTTTGTTCAAAGTGCATGGTGAGAATAATCTTTCTCCTAAAATGAAGCACAAGGATAAGTAATAACTTTTTATGCATGATAAGCATCAAAAATATGAGCCTGCTGGTCTTTGCTTTTCATTTTTCTTTACCTTTGTCTTTCAGTCAGAGCCTCCTGCGGCGTGCACACAATGTGATCAATAACTCAATAACTTTTTTCATGCAGTAATTATCTCTATGTGGTATTATCTGAACACTGTTTTTCTTTATTACCCAAAAGATGCAGGAGATATTTATATAACCAGCTGATCCCATTTTGGATGAAGCTGCTTCAAGACAGCAGGATAAAGTTTGTTTTAAATAGCCTTTTTTAACAAATGTTGTATGGAAAGCTTACAAGGTTGTACTTTTTTGTATGGGAAAAATATGGTAAATACTGTTTTCTGCTTAGTACTTTATATTTAATTAAGTACAAAGTAAGTGATGTTGTCCTGTAAATTAACAGAGTTTCAAGCAATTATGCTAAGTGAATGTCTTTTATTCAGAAAATAGGTACAACTCTTCTGAAGTTCCTGGGTGATGCTGGATGATGATTTGGCTACTGATTTTTCAGAGTAAAGAGTTATTTTTAAAAATAACATTCCTCTGTGAAGTACATTCTGATTTCACTGGCTTCCAATTGTCACAGGTTGAGATTTTACAAGAGTCTCGAATGATGATTCCAGACTGTCAGCGGAGATTAGAAATTGCACATGCAGATCTCACTCAACTACTAGTAAGTATAGCATCAAAACCCACCTCCCAGTAAATGCTGGAGTTGTTTGTTGGAAATGGATAAACATGCTTGTTTGCAGTGCAATTGCATCAGAACAGAACTGGATTGAAAATTACCTTTTGCAGGTCCAAAGACTGGCATCCTGTAACATACCTCTGCAGTCCAGCTGAGATATCTGCTTATGTAGACGTGGTCTTCCATCTGTGAAAATTCTGTGTATTAGTGTACTAGAGACAGTCTATAATTGGATTTATACCCCACATGCACTTCAATACTAAACTGCTAGAACGAACTCTCAAGTTCCTGTGCTCGTTGCATGACTGGAAAAAAGAGTTCACTCGCTTTACGTAGTCTTTCTAGCGTGTCCTGTAGTGAACTGAAATATTCAGAACATTTTGTCTACTGCTTTTACTATGCTACACACAAGAAACAGAACAGCTGAGTTGTTGCTGAGTACTGGTTAAGCTACTTGTTATTGTGGTGGGTGTTTTTAACATACGAATATCTTTGGGAATAAATAATATACAAATGGACTGACCAAAAATATACTAGGCTTGGATATTACTCTGTTTATTTAAAAGCTGAGTTTTAACCAAGAATTCTACCACACAGGTAAAAGCTTCTGTGAGGCTAAAATACATACTGTAAACTAAGCTTCAAACATATTTGATGGCTAAAATGCAAATCCCATCTGAATGGAAAGCTTAAAGCATCTTGTCCTTGAGTAGCATGCCCAAGATGTGGCAAGATTTAGGATCCTTCTGTCACTCAACTTGTAACTTGCCTGTTAGCTTGTCTAGGCTTCAGCAGCATGCGGAAGCAATGCTGTTGATCTATACTGCATGCTACACAAACTTAAAATTAGAAATGTGGAGAGTTACTATTATTGTTAAGAATTTGGAAGTCTTTTAGGGATTGTTTTATTTTCTTAGCACACCTTCAAAGCTTTTGTTAAAATAAACTGTATAGTTGTGTTTTTTTCAATTATCAAACTCTTTTAAAGTTTTTTTTTCTAATGGTGTTCTTGTTCTGAGTCTTGCTGTTATTGCTTCCAGTTGCACTTTCCTTGTTTTTTTATTTCAGAGAATAAAATGAAAGTATACATAAGTCAGATCTTCTCACACGACAGCTATTATAGCACACCTTAAATAGGACAAAAGAAATTACCTGTGCTATGAATCGTGTAAAACTGGTGTTTTCAATGCCCCGTGTGTTTCAGTATTTCCTCCCTAAATCCATTCTAATGTCAGTTATTTTTGAAGTATTTAAAATTTTGTTTTTAATTCCAGGAAAATGAAAAAGAGTTGGAAGAAGCTGAAGAGTATAAAGAAGCACGTTCCATTCTAGAGTCGGTGAAGCTGGAAGCCTAGAAGTTTTTCAGTACCCTCTTTATATGTATTAGCACTGGGTCCATTTCACACTTTATTTGACTGTAGCTCTGTTACTACTGCTGATTTGCTGAGGTTCTCTTTATGCAAACTAACCTCTCTCTAACTGCAAGATGCATCAAATAAAGGATGTTCTGAAACATCTGTGTGTTCCACATTCAGCCAAAATAAAAGCTTTTCCAGTTCACATCAACTACAAAAGGTTAAAAAAAAAAAAAGCTTAGATTAAGAAACAACGTACACATTAAATGTTAGCTATGTAAGGAATGTGAGGGGCTAATAAATACTTCAGAAATACCTTGTAACTGAAGTAATTTCAAGCCATTATAGCATCAACTCTGTACTGAAAGAGATGGACCGAATGACCCCTTTCAAAGTCACTTTTTTCCTGTGATGCAATTTATTTGTAATTTTATCAAGTATTACTCCTTGTTTATCTTTGAGCCCAAGATGGAATTAAGAGCTGATTCCAAACCTTTCTCAATTTGCCTGAGGTTGATTTGTAGAGCCCAATTCACACAACTGCCATTGATCAAAACTAAGTTACTTTTTCAATAAACACAATTTTGTAGCTATGTAGTATGTTGTTGGTTGGATCTGCCGGTAAGAGTTCTAGAGTGAACTCTGTTCATCTTGGCCTGTGACTTTTCTGAACAAAGTTCAGACCCTGAAAGAAAACACGTGGGTAAGGGAACAACGCTTGATCTGCATGAAAGATCATTTAAACACTATGTATACTATGTTCTTTCAGAATGGCTTTTTGAAACAGGAAACAGAACTGTTGAAGAAAGGTTTTTATGTTAGTTTTTCTAGTTTGAAAATTTTGTAGTGTGTTCCTTAACAGGAACAAAAAACAACAGTGTACCTTTTGTGTGATGCTATGTCGGATACTCTTTATAAATGTTTTGTTAATTTGCCTGAGTTTGTGTAAATTGTAGTTTCGCTTACATTTATTTATGCACCTTGAGCACAGTGAGAGTAACATCTACTTCTCCATCACTCTGAAGAGCTGCTTTGAGAGAGTATCAGCATAAGATTTCAGAGTGGCTGCAGAATGACATGCTTTTGAATCAGGTTCCTCCACATCTCAGACCTACCTTATACAGTGCAAAGAGGTGAAACCATTTGTGATAACTCTAAGGTTTCATAACAGTGTATGCTAACCTTCCTCCCAGCATTGTATGCTGGCACATAACTGTGAAATAGACCCTGCCCTCACAGGGCAAGTGAACTGCTAATGAGGAGAACATCTGTCTTTGTGTATTCATTTCTGTCATTTTCTGTGGAGCTTCACCAGAAACGGCAGCTGGAGCAGACAAAGCAGATTGCATGCCTTAGCTGTTAGTGTACCCAGCTATGCTTGCAGGCCATTGAGTGCAGCGTAAATAAATGCTGAACTGATGAGGATATATAGAGGGTGCAGCATTAAGTCTGCTGTGTAAGGCAGAACTTAAAAAGTATGTAATATTCTTCAGTAGGAATAATATGCAATCCTGAAAAAAGTACACAGAAATGATGTGTAGTTGCTGAATAGCACAAGAAATGCAGGTCAGCATGACCACTAAAAACATTTGTTACATGTAGTGGTTGAATGTCCTTTGCTCTGGTGAGGCCATATTTAGACTACTGCGTCCAGTTCTGGTTCCACCCGTTCAAGACAGGCAGGGATCTCCTAGAAGGAATCCAGCGGTGGATCATGAAGATGATTAAGTGCCTGGAGAATCTCCCATAATGAGGAAGGGCTGAGTAACCTGGGTCTCTAAGCCTGGGGAAAGGAAGACTGAGAGGGGATCTGATACTATAAATATCCAAAGACAGGTGGGAGGCAAAAGAATGAGGCCAGGCTTTTCTTGCTGGTGCATAGGAACAGGACAAGGAGTAACTGCCTAAAACTTCTAACGTAGGAAGTTCCGTGCTAACATGTGGAAGAACTTCTTAATGGCAAGGGTTACGGAGCTCTGGAACAGGATGCCCAGAGAGGTTGTGCAGTCTCCTTCTATGGAGATATTAAAGACCTGCCTGGATGCCTATCTTTGCAGCCTATTGTAGGGTACTTGCTTTAGCAGGGAGGTGCAGTTGGTGATCTCTTGAGGTCCCTTTCAACGCCTGTGATTCTGTGATTCAAAACAAACTTTGTAGTATGACCTAACTTGGCATTTAGTACTAGGAGCGCCTGGGAATGAGTGGTAGAACCACATTCCAGAGAGAAGTTTCTTGGTGCAGGTGACTCTCTAGAGTAGAGTGGTTTCTTTTGTCACAGCCCAAATAGTTTGCCTCCGATTTTTTTCCAAGCAATTTTCTAGCTTCCTCTGATTGCGTTGTTAACTAAGATGATACTCTTCCCTGTTCCTTTTGTCTTCCCTCCTGTTAAGTTATTGAAAAGATTGAGTGTGCTCTGTTGTGTAGAACATAGCCAGCCTCTGATGAAAATCAAGATATATTCATCAAATGAATTGCTTTCTTCTCATTTCCAGCTGCCCCTAGACATAGTTTCTGGGATGACAGCAGCAACCCACAGAAACCATACCAAAAAATTGTGACAAGGCAACGATAACAAGGGGCTGGCCTTTGAAGAGTGATTGACTAATCCATGCAGGTAACGCATTCCTCATGCAATCAGAACAGTTGATCCAGTGATACATTATGACAGACTGAATTTTTTCAGCACTGTCTGAGTGGTTGTTTGTACAGAAGATATTTTTGCTGACAAAACCTTTATCAATTAGACTGGATACAAGTTCCATAGCGAAGCGTAATACAGACAGTTGCATCTTAGAAGTACTATCATCATTACCCTCAGATCTTACATCCAAAAACAGTGGCTATCTACACTGTTTGGAGATATGTAGTGTGCATTATCTAGTGCAAGAGGCTAGGAAAAATCTCATGGGCAGTATTTTTTATTTCTGTCCTCTTTGGATTCTGTCCCTAGCTTTACTAATGCCTTTCAGAGTTCATCTGAGATTATCATGACCTGTGTTTATCTTTACATATTATTAATACATGTTCACTTAGCAGACAAGTTTTCATGCTCTTGTCATGAATGCATTTTACATCCAGGACAGAGGTGCTCTGCTTTTATTTCTTGCTGGCAAAATATATTTTAGTGGTTTCTCAGTTATCAATTTGTCAGTCAAAAGACATTTCTTTTCCGAGAGGCCACAGCAGAGCAAGAGTCTACGTTATACCCTGACTGAAGAAGCAAAAGATCTGAATTTAGAAGAAAACATAGATAGAAAACAATAATCTGAACATTGTCAATATAAGACCTTTGCCCATTTCTCTGATCATGTACTTGCCAGCTACTACCTGTTACTCAGTTTACCCTTACACAGTTAAGAGTCTTCTTTGACAGAGGACAAATTGCATCTAAGTTACCATGGCAATCCAAACGAGAGGCAGAACTTAACTTTTGGTACCTTTGCTTGGAAACTAACGTTTCTCAAGTCCTCAGTTACACTGTGTATTCAAAAATGAAATTAATTTCTGAGCAGGTTTGCCATCTAATTTAAATTTGTTCCTTCACTTGAATAACCTCCACAACGTTCACATAATTTCTTGCAAGTAGCTAACTTACAATCTGGTTTGCTTTTGCTATTTTGTTAAAAATATTTTAACACTCAGCACTTTCTTCCTCAGAAATAATTTTCCAAGGATTCTTGAACAATCTTATATCCATAAAAGTAACTGATGATTCTAACATAATGCTTCTTACGAGCCTCTAATACAGCCCTTCTCAAAATGAACTTTCTCAAAATATCCTGCATGAAAAGCAGGCCTTGGAATTTGTTAGCAACATCTTTTGGGTTGTTGCTTTACGATGTTTATGTTCTGTTAGCAAAATCCAAGAAAACAGTTTTCTTCTCAGAACCACAGGAAGTTGAATACTTCAGGAAAGGGTTCAAGAAAACACTACATCTGGTAGGAAGCACACCACTCAGTCACATTCCATTCCCCGCACCCTCTTCTTACAACTCTAAAGCTGCACCTGTCTGGCTGGATTTTCCACCCAGAACCTCTGCTTAGAGTGTCTAAGTCTGTTATTTCCCCCAAAACACAAGGAGACGAACAGCTGTCACTGAACTCTCGCACCCTTTTACCCTTTGATTCAGTAGCCCAGCTGCTACCACTTATTGTAACGTGTAGACTCTGCCCTTATAATTGATCACACCATACTAGACACCAGCCAACAACACAATAAAACAACTAAAACTGTACTCCCAAAAAACAGAATTGTAAAAGCACTGAGATGTGTTGAGAAGCATGGTGAGCAGGGAAAGCACAGTCTGGCCCAAATGCACTTGCACAAGGCACATCACTACGGACTGGCCATTCCTGGCCATAGCTTATGAGTGTAAAAGAAAAGAGATAAGATTGAAAAATGTGTTTTTTCCTATCCACCAAAATACTGTTCCCTGACTTGAATCTCCCCTCCATAAAGTGGAAGATTTAGATTAAATGTAAATAGGAGGATAATTCTTTACTCAATGGTGGTAAGGCACTGGCACAGGCTGCCCACAGAAGCTGTGGTGCCCCATCTGTGGAGGTACTCAAGGCCAGGTTGGATGGGGCCCTGGGCAGCCTGAGCTGATGGGTGGCAGCTCTGCCCACAGCAGAGGATTGGAACTGGGTGATCTTTGATGTCCTTTCCAACTTAAGCTATTCTGTAATTTAGCTGAATTTCACTATGATCACACAGCATACTTAAAAGGAGCAAAACATTAAAGAGTGCATATCAGATCCAAGCTTTAAGTAAACCTTCATCCAAGTAAGCCTTATCCTGTAGCCACATAAAAGAACTGTGATATACATCTCCAGGGATGAGGTAACTATACGTACTTATTATGATTTAAATCCTCAAAAAGGATAGTGGTGGTACAGCAGGTCACATTTAGAAGCTCTGCTAAATGCCTTGCAGTAGGAAAAGGAGACTAACTGCAGTCAAGCCAATTAGTACAGTGACACTTGATCCAAGGGCAACCATTTCATACGTCTCTAATGCTTGTGGATCACATCACGATTCAAGCATTTCCATGATGCTCTGCCAGATTTTGCTTGTAGTTTAGAAATGACACGTACAAAATGCAATAAACTAAGCAAGAAGTTTCTAGGCAGTAGCAAGCATTAGGAGCTGGCAAAT